TTTTACTCATGTTCGAGGGTTTGCCTGGACTATCTGACCTTGGTATTTAGTCTCACTATCTATTTCATGCATGATAGATGACCTGAGGGCATGTTTTGGGGACTTACACACTGTTTGAGTGTGGATTGATATAAGTAGACTTCACTATATACATCATAGCGATATTTTACTATGCCTTAGTCCTCGTGTTGGACTATAATCCATAGAAGTCCTCGTGTTGGACTATAATCCATAGAAGTCCTCGTGTTGGACTATAATCCATAGAAGTCCTCGTGTTGGACTATAAATTCATTCCAGTCCTCGTGTTGGACATTTGCCACTTAATCTATGAGTTTGGAAAACTACGACATAAATAGTTCCTGATTTGGACATAGTTCTTAACCCTGCATATGACTTCTTCATAGAAGTTCACGACATGATGTTGACATGACACTCATGCAAGTAATAATATGACATTCATGTTAGTCATGGTATGGCACTGAAATTTGTTCTGAGATTAGCTGTATTTTTCTTGATTTATTGTTTCTGTACTAGAACCTCGGGTTTGGTGTTTAGAGATTTACAATTTGAGATACAAGGTATATACATGAGGGTTTCCTTGTTTGGATTATTTCGCTCGACGTACCTATGCTCGTGTTGTAAATTTCTAAATACTAAAACCCTCTTTAGTAGGATCAATGATTTTAGATCTATTATACATATTATCTGTATTTTCTTATACAACGAGCCTTGTTCCCTTGGGGTTGGTTGTGATGTTACTCGCTAGCGCTTTGACGCTCGTTGTCCCTCCCCCCTTTCAGATCACGAGCCAGGAGCACGGAGAGTCGCAGGTTGATAGCGGACTACTTTAGTGTTCAGCTTTACTTTCTAGCTATGTATTATTTTCTTTGGGCTCCCCTGTTTTTCTTTTGGAGTTCCACGGTAGATTTTTATTTAGACATTTGAGAGTCTTGTTCTAGAAGTTGTAAAGGATGTGTGCCTTATTTCCTTTTCGTTAGATATTTGTATTTGAGACTTGTTAAGTATTTCAGTTTATCTACTCAGACCTTGATTATGTATTTCTGTATTGTTGGATGATGAGATATTTATGTGACTATTATCATTTCATCAGTATTCCTTGTATTATCTCTCACCTGTTTTGTACCTACACCAGTTGTTGATTCTACTAGATAGATGTTGATTGTGATGGTGAAATATGTTATTGCACGGTGTGGTGCATAACAGGTTTGACTTTTACCTGGGACTACAGCCTTGTGTGAACCCTAGGGCGTCACAGTTGGTATCAGAGCTATAGTTCTAATATCCTTAGGATCATCCTGTGTCGAGTCGTGGAGCTAGGATAGAGTTTCCTAGGATTCATGTATAGAGTCCGTAAGGATTTCCTAGTATGAGTGAGGACGATATATGCGTATATCTCAAAATTTGAGAATTTTTTTTATGACGACTATTTTGTATAAATTTAAAGTATTTATGCAAATAATATATAGGTGAAAATTGTATTGTGATACGCTATTTATAGAGGTCTATTTTGACTCCTAATCTCTTATTTTCTTATGATCAGAGAAATGGCAGGACATCGTAGACCTCGCACTCGCAGGGCTGGACAGGCTGTAACGCAGCAAACTCCACCTGAGCCGCAGCAGGCTCCCCAGTACCTGGTAGATCTTATGGCTCCCCTAGTCGCTAGGATAGCAGCAATCGAGGAGCTTGTGGCGAATCACATTTCTCCACCACCACCACCACCACCAGTAGCTGAAACCGCCATTTCTCAAGAAAATGGGACAGCTAAGTTTCAGAAGGATAAGGAAGGGAGTGCTAAGAGAGGGCACGTCGGAGACAAGGGTAAGAACAAGAGACCCTTATATCGACCTCAGCAGCAGCAGCAGAGCCCTCATAAGAAGGGATCCCAGCTGGATCGGAGAGAAAGTCAGCAGCACAAATTCTGGGGATCTTGTTTTAATTGTCGCAAGGTCGGACACAAGGCATTAGAGTGCCGCAGTGCACTAGCAAGAACTCAGAAGGGATATGGTCCAATTCAGCAGCAGCAGAAGACTGAAGGACAGGTTCTAGCAGTTCAGGAGGTTTCCCAGGGGCAGATTGTCCCATATTCTCCAGCACCAGTGATAGAGCAGTCTTTAGCCACCGGTAGAGTATATGCAGTAGTTCCGCATGATCATGGAGCTAATGGAGCAATTTTGAAGGGTACGTTCTTTGTGAATTCCTTTCCCACCCGTATTCTTTTCGATTCGGGATCTTCGCATTCCTTCATATCGCATGCATTTATGGCTAGACTCCAGCTTGTAGCTCAGCCACTAGACACACCTTTATCTGTTCCCACCCCTTTAGGTGAGGTATCGCTTCTGGAGAGCGTTTGTAGGAGGTGTACCGTCAGTTTAGACGAGTCAGAGTTTATAGTCCCTATCATATTAGTATTGACTGCTTTGTGAAGATAGTCAAGTTGCGAGCGTCCGATGGGTCCGAGATGATTGTAGCCGCCTCTCAGGGCAACCGACTTGCGGAGTTATTTCTGGCGTACATCGAGGAGGTGATGCGACGGGATCAGGGTGCTGAGTTATTGGAGACTAGAGTTGTCTCAGAGTATCAGGATGTCTTTCAGGACATACCTGGATTGCCTCCGGTGAGAGAGGTGGAGTTTTGTATCGAATTGCAGCCTGGCACAGCCCCGATATCCCGCGCACCCTATCGTATGGCACCAGCTGAGATGAGGGAGCTTCAGACCCAGTTGGACGAGTTGTAGCTCAGGGTTTTATTCACCGGAGTCATTCTCCGTGGGGCGCGCCGGTCCTCTTCGTGAAGAAGGACGGTAGTATGAGATTATGCATAGATTATAGAGAGTTGAACAAGGTCACTATCCGGAATAGGTACCCACTACCTAGGATTGATGACTTGTTTGACAATTTGCAGAGTGCGCAGTATTTCTCGAAGATTGATCTTTGTTCTGGCTATCATCAGTTGCGGGTTAGGGAGATTGATA